GTGATTAAAGTGCTGAACTCCCACATGACTGACTACAGTTTGAGTCCCAGACCCGGCAACTCACTTTCTGTCTCTCTCTCTGCCTCTTTCTCACTTTCTTTCTCTCTGGTGAGCACATGTGCCCTATAGCAAATGTTAAAAATAATATTGAATGAATAAATAATAAAATAAATAAATTTTTTAAAAGAGAACGCGATGGAAGAGGACTTGGTCTTTGCATTTGTGTCTATTTCTACTGTTCACATTCAGCACAGAAGTGTGAAAGGGGAAAATGATCATGAACTCATGCAGTGCTAAAAGGAGAGAGGATAGAGCATCTTTTTTTTTAATTTTAAGATTTTCAATCAATAAGTACAGATAGAATTTATTGACGGCATACAATATGATGACTCACTGTACATATACCTCATGTAATAATTATCACTAATTAATGTTCACAGCCATCACTACCTATGCAATACACTAGACCCCCAGAACTTGTTCATCTTAGTACTGAAGGTTTATACCCTTTGACCAGCACTTCCCCTTTCCCCCATGCCCTGGCCCCTTACATCACTGTCTGCTTGTTGAGTACCTTTTACACGCTGCACCCCTTGGCTGGCTCTTCAGCAGGCCTCATCATTTAACCCTTCCAAGAGCCCAGTGAAGGGGGTGTTGTCATACCATTTCATTTTTATCAACGAAGAAGCTGAGGTTGAGAAAGATTAAGTAAGTCACTTAGGCATAGTCCCCAAAGCAGGAAGGGATGAACTGGGATCTGACAATGTGCACTTAAGGAAACCCATTGGTTCATCTGAACCAGTGCGTATGTGTTTACGTGCATTCTTGTCCTCTGGTACTCTCATTACGTCTATTAGAGGAAAGCAATCATTAGAGTAAGGAGAGGACTTAGTTCCCAAATAATTGGATGACTATGGACTACCTGTTACTAACTTTGCTACAGTAATAGCACAGGCTATTAGTAATCCCGTAATGTCGAACTTGGCATGCTTGCGACCAGGCAGCAATGTGCAGAATCAAGGGGTGCTGACCGACTTAGGTAAGACAGAGATCCTTCATGTTTGAGGGTGATGAGAAATTATTTTCATGCTGATTGGAGAAGAAACAAGAGGGAATTTATTGTCCATGCTTCTCAATGGTACAGTTGTAATCCACAAATTTTATTTAGCTGACTGAGCACCTAGACATTTGATGTGTTATTGAAGTTCATATATGATTTGTGCTGAATCAGATATCTTCACATGAATATAATTTGCAAGTGTTTTAAAAATCAATTTGTCATTTGCCTTTTAATTTTATTTATAATATATAAGTTTTTTTAGGTTTTTGCCATAGGGCATGTGTGCTTGCCAGAGAGTTAGAGAGAGGGAAAGTGAGAAATCATCCCCCCCGGGGCATGGCCACACCACAATCCCTTCTCCTCCATTCTCCTTTTGGGATTTTGGGCATGCACACACATGTGCTTGTCGTGATACTTTTTTGTTTTTAAGAGAGATTTTTGCTAAAAAGCGAGTGCCCTCGCTAGAGAAACAGACAGGAAGAAAGCAAGAAATCACTCCCTGGGGTGATGGCCACATCGCAGTCCCCTCTCTTTCACTCTCCTCTTGGGATCTTGGGCATGCATGCACACGTGCCCAGTGTGAGTTGTAATCCTCCAGATCTGGGACTTGAACTGTGGTTAACTATGTGTGAGTCCAGCAAAATAACCATTTCACTATCTGTTGGTCCCCCTGGTGTGATTTTTAAACCACCAGTTCTGGGATTTGAACTGTAGCCCATCATATGGGAATCCAGTGTTTAAACCACCATGCCACCTGCTGGCTCCTATAATATATTTTTTGATGCATTAACAATCTTTATTTAGTCAGAACCTATCTTTTTTTTTTCTAAAGTTCTTATTTTGTTTTTGTGCTTAGACCTTTCTAAGTGAAAAGGTCAATTGCCTCCTCCTTTATTAGCGTGTAGTTTGTAGGCTTCCCCATTTATTTGCTATATTATATTTGAAATTTTGTGTATAATTATAGCAGAAGTAGAAAGTGATGGTGTGGTGATTAAAGTGCTGAACTCCCACATGACTGACTACAGTTTGAGTCCCAGACCCGGCAACTCACTTTCTGTCTCTCTCTCTGCCTCTTTCTCACTTTCTTTCTCTCTGGTGAGCACATGTGCCCTATAGCAAATGTTAAAAATAATATTGAATGAATAAATAATAAAATAAATAAATTTTTTAAAAGAGAACGCGATGGAAGAGGACTTGGTCTTTGCATTTGTGTCTATTTCTACTGTTCACATTCAGCACAGAAGTGTGAAAGGGGAAAATGATCATGAACTCATGCAGTGCTAAAAGGAGAGAGGATAGAGCATCTTTTTTTTTAATTTTAAGATTTTCAATCAATAAGTACAGATAGAATTTATTGACGGCATACAATATGATGACTCACTGTACATATACCTCATGTAATAATTATCACTAATTAATGTTCACAGCCATCACTACCTATGCAATACACTAGACCCCCAGAACTTGTTCATCTTAGTACTGAAGGTTTATACCCTTTGACCAGCACTTCCCCTTTCCCCCATGCCCTGGCCCCTTACATCACTGTCTGCTTGTTGAGTACCTTTTACACGCTGCACCCCTTGGCTGGCTCTTCAGCAGGCCTCATCATTTAACCCTTCCAAGAGCCCAGTGAAGGGGGTGTTGTCATACCATTTCATTTTTATCAACGAAGAAGCTGAGGTTGAGAAAGATTAAGTAAGTCACTTAGGCATAGTCCCCAAAGCAGGAAGGGATGAACTGGGATCTGACAATGTGCACTTAAGGAAACCCATTGGTTCATCTGAACCAGTGCGTATGTGTTTACGTGCATTCTTGTCCTCTGGTACTCTCATTACGTCTATTAGAGGAAAGCAATCATTAGAGTAAGGAGAGGACTTAGTTCCCAAATAATTGGATGACTATGGACTACCTGTTACTAACTTTGCTACAGTAATAGCACAGGCTATTAGTAATCCCGTAATGTCGAACTTGGCATGCTTGCGACCAGGCAGCAATGTGCAGAATCAAGGGGTGCTGACCGACTTAGGTAAGACAGAGATCCTTCATGTTTGAGGGTGATGAGAAATTATTTTCATGCTGATTGGAGAAGAAACAAGAGGGAATTTATTGTCCATGCTTCTCAATGGTACAGTTGTAATCCACAAATTTTATTTAGCTGACTGAGCACCTAGACATTTGATGTGTTATTGAAGTTCATATATGATTTGTGCTGAATCAGATATCTTCACATGCTAGATTGAATAGAGAGATAAAGGACAGCAGTTCCAATATTTAAGAAAATGCTGTAGGAAAAACAACTTCAAAAAAACTTTATTCAGGGGAACCAGCAGTTAGCATAATGGCTATGTCGCTGGACTCCCACGTAGTCGACCGCGGTTCGTGTCCCGGACCCGGTGGCTTAAAACTCAGGCCGGGCGCGTGTGCATGTGTGCCCAAGATCCCGAGAGGAGAATGGAGGAGAAGGGATTGCGGCGTGACCATCCCCCCTGGGGGGTGATTTCTCGCTTTCTGTCTCTATGTCTCTCTCTGTCTGTCTGGCGAGCGCACGCGCCCTACAGTGAAAATCTCTCAAAAAAAAAAAAAAACTTTATTCACAAAGCTATTATTTTCCTGTATCTTGTGAGAGACCACCGTTATTTCATTCTGCCATTGAGAACATGACATATATTTACAGTCACCTCTCTAAGCAGTCAATGTATCTGCAGCTTTTTATGGTGATTCAACTGCCTCACTCAGCATCGCATATGAGAGTGACTCATTTAGATACTTTTGGTACTTGATAAATCATATCATTCAAAACACGGCTGTTAGATCACTGATACATGCTGGTTTCAAACATGATGTTCCAGCATAAAGTGGGTTAGGGACATTCTGCATGCGTAGACAGGCTTCCTCATTAGGAATGACTTGGCTCTGCAATTCGTGGAAGAACTGGATGAAGCAGGTACCTCCTATTGGTTATGACACTTTTCTCAGGATCACAGTATCATTCCACTAGTTGAGAGAAAGAGAATGTGAGACCTAATTAGGATGAAAGGTAAATTCTAGGAAAGGAAATCGGATCAGAGTGAGAGCTATTGGAAATGACATTACCATAAAGAACACAGTCAATATATCTGTGTGTATTTATTTTTCCTTGTTTTTTTTTTTTTTTCCCTAAAGGAGAGTTTTTTGTTATAGGGTGCATGTGCTCACCAGAAAGTGAGAAATCCCCCCCAGGGGGAATGGCCACGCCACAGTCTTTTCTACTCCATTCTCCTCTTGGGATTTGGGGCACACATATGCATGTGCCCAGTGTGAGCTTTAAGCCACTGGGTCTGGGACTCGAACTGTGGTTGACTATGTGGAAGTCCAGCCACATACCCATTATGCCATCTGTGAGTCCCACCTTGGATTTTTTTTTTCTTAAGGTTTGTTTATTGATTTATTCTGTAAGACGGTGGGACTGAGAGAGAGGCAACCCTAAGAGGGTCTGCATGCTGTGATCCACCCCAGCCTCAGCCAGCTGAGGTCACAGGCACCTGCGCACATGTACCTGGCTTGTACAGAGAGCCATTGGGACATGAACCTGGGACTTCCCTTCCTGGCTTCATCATTGTGAGCATGTGTTACCACTGTGCCACTGGGGCTGGCCTACTCTGGGCTTGACGAGAATTTATAAGTGATGGGATTTGAGTTATTCGAATTTTCTCTTTGTGTTTTTATGAAATTTCAAACGCAAAATCTTAGAGGTATTAATAGAAAAATCAACTTTCAATTTGATCTCTGACTTAGAACATTGCAAAACCCCTGGTCTTGACTTACAAGCTTAGAAGCTTCTTCTACCTTTCCTGAGCTCTCTCCTTACTTAATATAAGGCAGGTTTTTTTCTGTTTGGCTGCAATAAAAGCCTGTGTTCTGGCACTAACCTTTTCTTTTTCCTTTTTCCCCCAACACACAGCATGGGACAGAGTGGGCCTCTTCCCCCTGTAGCGTGTGCTCTTGCAGTCACGGGGAAGTCCGATGCACCCCCCAGCCATGCCCACCACTGTCGTGTGGACACCAGGAGCTGGAATTCATCCCTGAAGGAAGCTGCTGCCCAATCTGTGTGGGCCCTGGGAGTGAGTATGAGCTTATAGAAATGGATCTTGACATTCACATGGTGTCACTCCAGCTCTTTCTTGCTCAGCATGGCTCCAGCTTTATCCGGGAGTAATGTTTCAGAGTGTGAGTTTGGAAAAAATATTTAAGCTCTATTCCAAGCTTGGGATTCTACAAGTCTCTAATTTATTCATTTTGCCTTGACCAGATACCTTCCTCCTCACTCACAGCTCCTTAGAGGGACAGGGAGTAGGGAAGAGACCCTTTAGTGTGATTCCGTAAAGCCAAGGTGGTTCTTCCTGTCTCCTTGGGGGCTAGGAGGAACAAGTCATTTTTCCACGTAGTATCATGAGCACAAATTCTGCCGGCTGGTCTTTGAGATGACACAACATCTTTCTCCAGGACTCACACAGCATCAGGGAAGTCTTTCATTTGTCTTTATTGCATCCTAGCTGAAGAGATTCTGCCTGTCTGTAAACCAAAGCACCTTGCTTTGTTCAGCAAGCCAGGGGCACTTCCAGATGCTCTCCTTAGAATTCACGCTTGTTCTACACACTTTATACTATGTCGTAGGGATATGTACTCCCTTCCATTTTGATAACCACATAGTCTAGACTTAATGATAAGTGGGTATTATTGTCATTGCCACGTTATGCTCTCCTGATGCATGATAGCTATCATGCTTCTTTTATTTAATAACACCTGGAAACTACATTCTATTCTTGCCTTTTTCCTTTAAAAAGACCCTTTGTGTCTTTCTGGCCCCTTGTTATTCCATTCCTGGTAGTCTTTTACCCTGGAGAATCATTCCAGGGATTAAAAGTGTGCTGAGGAAATGATGAAATTAGAATGTTTGCTTCACGCATTTCAGACACCACAAAAAGATGGACAGACACATGGAGCCACATAACCCTGCAAATGAAAATACCTAGGCCAACAGAGTTGGGAGTGTCCTGCAGAGTGGTTGTCTTGAGTTTGGGAGAGTCTTTCCTAAATCCTAAGAGATGTTCTCATTGACCTTGCATGAGAAAGACATATTAGAGGTATTTTGCTAGAGAGACAGAAGGGTCAGCCAGGGCCAACTATGTAATTTGTGAAAATGTAGGTTCTATTATTCAACAAGGAGGGAGGAGATGCTTTTTCTTCACCTCTGTGATCTCTTTCTCTCAACCTGTCATGTTTCTCATTGGCTGTTTATGTGTTACTCCATTGGGCCTGGGGATGCTCAAGGTGTCAGTGGAGACCCTCACAGACAACCTGGGACCTACCTTGTGACTTGGTGTCTGGGTGCATGCCCCCTCCTGGCAGCAACACCCAGGACCCTGCTATGGGAGGAGGGTGGCCTTGTACATTGGACAAGAGTATACTGGAGGGTGACTGAGAAGCCATCCTGGGAAGCCAGCAGGAAATGAGACCATGTATGAACCAAGACTCCAAGTCGCACCAGTCTTCATTGACAAAACGTGGATTCAGGACAGTGCCCAAAGTCCTACTGGACCCCAAGCACAAGGCCTCCTTCTGTACACCAGGCCCTGACTGCAGAGCCCTGTGACGGCCTTGGCCACATGCCCATGTCGTCAGTTCTAGGGTCAGCATAGGGTGCAGTCCTCCCAGTAATTCATGTTTCTTTGACCTTCCAGAACCCTGTTCCTATGAAGGCCGTGTGTTTCAGGATGGAGAGGACTGGCAGTTGAGCCGGTGTGCCAAATGTGTGTGTAGAAATGGGGCCGTCCAGTGCTTCACAGCTCAGTGTCAGCCTCTGTTTTGTAACCAGGTAAGGAAGACAACCTCAGAATGGGTCCTTCATAGGCTCTGACTTTGCTGTTGGAGAACTTGGATTCTTCTGAAATGATGTTGGGAGCCTTACAAGCAAAGATGGTTTTGTTTTCATGATACGTTCAGAGTTCCCCCTCTGAGAAGTTTCTTTTACCATCAGAAGCTACAGATAGGTCTGATGACCAGCCCATTTAGGCTAATTGTTACATAATGAAACTGAGCCTTGAAGATACACATAAGGAAGCCCCCCAGCTCCCATTGCAGATGTTCCAAAAAATGTTAAACTAAACATCTGGAAAATTTAGTAATAGGCTCAGGGTTGTTATTGTCTTTTAATGCATAGGTAAAGCCTGCTTTCTTAAGACATAATACATGTCTTTGAACATGATTATCCAGATGTACACCATTTAATTCTTAAAGGATAATGATTCAAATTATCGAAAGATTTTCTCTGGGGATGTTTAAGAGAGTGGGATCTTGTTTTTCATTTAAAGTTGATCTGATTTTCAAAACAGTAGGCTCTTCACACAAATTTAGAAGAGAAAATCAATTGCAAATAAATGTAGCATACATGGTATTTTATAGTTTTTTTTTTTCACTCTTCCAGAGGCTCCTCTGGATGTTCCATGGCTCTTGACAGATAGCCATGCAAGCAGTTTTGCCTCTAGTCAAAAAATAGCTCATTTTTGATCTAAGAAAAAGCTGGAAGCCAACATTCAGTTGATACAGAGCAGTACTTTGTGTCGAATAAAACAAAATCAATAACATGGCATATTGTGACAACTGGGCAATATTTTTAAAGGAAGACAAAAGGCAATTAGATGAGAAATGCTAAATGCCAAATAAAGGGAAAATGTATCTCATTGAAAGACGAAATCGTATTGCCCATACCACACCAAGTACTGTGCTCCTGTCTCAGCTCCCGGTTGGCCACAGAGTCTAGTCCTGGCTGAAAGATTACAGATGCAGTTCTTGGCAGAATTGCATGATTGCTTGATCATCTACTGTTCATTTAGAGGATGCTCTAGTGTTGGGGCAATTCGATTACACATTTCAGGGCAAGAAGGGCAAAGAAGCAGTTGCCACCATTACAGTAAAGGAGGTGGGGAGGAGGAAGGGAGGAAGCACCCCCCTTGAGAACCTTCTGCTTTAAATCTTAATATATTTGCCCACATGGGAGGGCCTAATATTTGAGTGTAATCAGAAGTACTGTTTCTCATTTTAAAAACATTAAACTCTAGCTTCACTTACAGTATTCATTTATAGTTTATGTCAATGTACATAATTAATGTAAAAAGATGAAATTTGGTACCATACTTTAAAACTAATTGATATGCAAGTATTCTGAAGACTGTCATAGATTCTTTTAATTACTCTTGCATCATTAAGTCTATATTTTGCCATGATTTCTTTTAAAAAACACCTAACTGCCAAGTCATTTTGAACCATTTTTAAAAATTTAATATCACTATTAAATGCTGGATGTTCTGATGTTTATTTTATAAAGGGATATTATAGAATTGGTGCTATTAATGGGACATGTTACTTCTACCATCATCATCATCATCACCAACACCATCACTACCACTGTCACCACTACCATCACTACCACCATCATCACTACCATTACTACCACCAGACCCATCACCACCACCATCACCCCCAGTTTTAGAGTGTTTAATATGTGCCACTCATGAATTATATAAGCTTTGTGATTCTCATAACAACCCTATTGAAGAGGAGCTATTATGATCATTCCTACTTTATAGCTGATAGAACCAAGGTACACAACGGTAAGTCACTCATTCAATGTATCACAGTTCAGAAGTATTGGCACTTGTCCCCTAGGCAGTTCTACATTACAAACTCAGTAGACCATCCCTGACTCTTGTTTTTAGCAGTTATGCTATATTGCCTCCCAAAATGATGAATTACACAACATTTATGTGTAACAATAATCATGAAGACAGTATTTGCTTATATCATTGAGCATGATGTCAAGTATTTTGTATGTATTAGATCATTAAATATAAGGAAAGCAGGGACCAGCAGGTGGCGTGGTTGTTAACTCACTGGACTCCCACATGGTCAACATGGTTCTAGCCCTGGCCTGGCAGCTTGAATATCATGCCGGGTGCATGTGTGTGTCCAAAATCCCAAGAGGAGAGTGGATTGTGGTTTGGCCATCCCCCTGGGGGTGAGTGATCTCACACTTTCCCTCTCTCTGTCTCTCTCTGGAGAGTGCATTCACCCAATGGCAAAAATGTAAAACAAAAACAAACAAACAGAAAGTTAAGACACAAGTTCATCCAATCCATAGAAATATATCCAGGACAAGAGCGCTAGAAAAATTTGCAACCTGTCTTCAAGAATTTTCATGATGATCAATATGAGAGTTTTTTTTTTTTTTTTCTCATTATAAACCAAATTTTTACTCATTAAGGAAAGTTTAGAAAGGATAGAAAAGCAGAAAGAAATATGTCGGCTATTATTCCATCATTCAAAAAGACTATGATAGAATATTTTGGTGTTGTTAATGCCAATCTTATAGTAGGCAAATGTAGATATATTTGTTTGTTGGCATAATTATAATCACATTTTAGAAGTTGGTGATAATCTTGAATGTCTAAACGAGGGGCTGTTCTCTGTAAGGGTATAAATTCATACCGATATTGCCTGTTTTCAACTTTTGTCTAGATGCCTTGTGAACAAAGCTGTAACCCCTCCATGTTCTTGTACTCTCTCTGAAATGCTCTGTTCAGTCTGAAGAGGGTTGTTCCTAATTATGATAATACCACTATGTTTTGTTTTTTCAAGCCACAATTTTTCTTTTTCTAATATTGATCCATCTGAGTAGTTTAAATTTTATCTTTGTTTTTTTTTTTTCTTTTTTTCAGGAGAGATAGAATATTAGTATGTTTTCTAAGCCTCAAAATGGTTGAAAATTATTTTTTCAGTGGACCAGCAGGTGGCATAATGGTAATGTCACTGGACTCCTATGTAGTCGAATACAGTTCTAGTCCCGGATCTGGAGGCTTGGAACTCACACTGGGCACATATTCATATGTGCCCAAAATCCCGAGAGGAGAATGGAGGAGAAGGGATTGTGGCATGGCCATACCCTCTGGGGCGTGTTTTCCTGCTTTCTGTCTCTCTCTGTCTCTCCAGTGAGTGCGCATGCCTTATAGCCAAAAAACTCTCTCTAAAAAAAAGGAAAAGAAAGTTATTTTCTCACTGCATACAAGGAATACAATTTGGAGGGATCTAAAATTTGAGGGACTTTAATTTCTTCCCATCTCAATACTATGGACAGCTTTTCATTGAATGTTGGTGTTTCGTGCCATTCTGAGGTCTGTCTGCTTTCTACTTCATTTTATGCAGCTAATTTTACCTCATTGCATTCTATTTTTTTTAAAAAAAGTTTGTTTATTTCTTTGATGAGCAAGGGAGACAGATGGGATGGGGAACAGCACCCCAAAGGGGGTCCTGATATCATGTTCTACCCCCAACCTCAACTAGCACCAGGTCATGGGCAGAATCATGCTCACTGTATGCAGGGAGATCTCCAGGTGTGACGCTAGAACCTCCCCATGTGTGTTAGCCTTGTGGGGACTCCCATTTTTTTTTTTTTTTTTTGGCTGTATCACTGTCTAGCCCTTATGCTGTTGCAAATTTTTAGGTCGTTTCTTTATCTTCATAATTCAAACATCTTTCAGAATTTTTTAAAAGTTACTTATTTCTTCCATGAGTGAGAGAAGTAGACACAGAGAGAGAACTCCAAAAAGGGTCTCAAGGTGAGAATATTGTGGAATCCTTTCAGACTATATTCCAGTTTCTGAAATGTTTTCTTCATTGATGGCTTTCATTAATCATATTTGTTCCAATTATTATCATTGTTTCAGAACATCTATGACCCTTTGATTGGCCCCCCTCTCTTTTCTTTATTCATTAACCATGTTCTCTCTTACTCTCTTTCACTTGGTATCTTTCCATTGCAGATGGTAAGAGTCTCTCCAGGTTATGTTTAGTATCTCCGCTGTTAACTGTAGTTTGACAATTTTGCTTTAATTTTAGTTTAGTTCTTTCTTATTTCTCCTATCATTGGTTTGTCTACTTTTGTTTTTAAGGAATTATTTTTATTTAAATTTATTTGTTTTTTTATTCTTTCAGTTTGACCAGAGGTGGACAGTGGGATAGAGAGCTAGAAAGTGAGAAAGCAAGCTGCCAGATCCAGGACTCGAACTGTGGTCAGCCACGTGGAAGTCCAATGCCCTAACCACCACTCCACCTGTCAGCCCCAAGTACTTCTACTTTTTTTTTAGCCCAAATTTTATTTTTTCTTTATTGCTTCCTGCTTCCGTTTGCTAAAGATGGGGGTATTTTATCATACTGGACTTGCGAAATGGCTTTTAAACATATTCTTTTAGAGCCTATAGTAAAAGTGTTTAGATGTCTGCTCTTTATCAAAATAAAGAATGTTTATTCCTTTCTTTTTGATGGAGTTCATGATGTATTACCCCAACACATGGACTTTGACACATATTGACTAAGCTGAATTAAGCTAAAGGAATTTGAGTAAACAGCAGAAACAGGAAGGTCACTTTAACCTTCCCCCTGCCCTGCCTTCCCCCTCTCCCCAGGAGGTCATAAAACCTAAGAAGAATTTTCTGACCTTCCCCTGAAGCAGGCATTAAGACTCTCCCTGGAGAGGTGTTTTCCCTCTACCTGGAGAAAAGGATCATCTTTATGTTTCTCCTGGTCTCAGGGTCTGACAACTCTGCGTTTAGTGCAGCCCTGTGTACTGAGGTCAGCCATATCTCCTTCTGCTTCCCCTGCCCAGCCCTCTAATTCTGAATTCAGGAAATGAAAAACTATAATCCCTAGATTGCTGCGAGGGCTCCTTCTGTCTCTCTTTGTGACTGTGGTCCTTCGCATCTGGTGTGCCCTCCATCCCCCCTGCTTTTTATCATTCCCCTCCACCTCCCTAAATACTCATACCTCTCACTGTTCGTTGTTGTTGTTGACATTATAGGCTCTGACTGAATTTAGAAAGAAAGATATTGAGGGAGGCGAAAGGCTAAGACTGGCCTTCTGACAGCCTCAGACAGCAGTGGCCACACATTAGAGGGATGAAACCCATACTCTGATCTACAAAAGCAGAAAGTTGGAAGGAGATAATGGTTCCTATTTTGATTTAGGCTTGCACAGCAAAGGACCTGCAGACTGTCTCATGGTCAGTGGGACTTCCTCATGGCAATGTGGGAGGTTGACAGTTCTTTTTTTGTTAGAGTTTTCATCTCCTTCAGTGTCTTCAAAGGTATGGTGGTAGGAAGATATCTTGTCAAGGGTTGTCAAGCCTCACACTATAAACTTCTTTATCATAAGTGTTTTTATTTAAGGAATATTGAAAACTATAATTGAATATATCCTTAGTGGTAGTCCTACACAGAATTGTAATGGCATTCATCATTGTTTTTAGCCTGGAACCTCTATGATTACTGTGGGTACCATGTTAGACCTGGGACTGGCTACTTTGTAAAGGGCCAGGTAATGAATATTTTCAGCTCTGTGTGTCATACATACAGTTGGAATGACCTCAACCTGCCATTGTAGCACAAAAGCAGCGTAAGACATATGTAAGTACATGGGTATGCTCACCAAAGACTGAGAGATAGAAAGCGAGAAATCACCCCTCAGTGGGGATGGCCACACCACAATCTCTTCTCCTCCATTCTCTTCTAGAGATTTTGGGCACACACGCACACATATCTAGTGTGAGTTTTAAGCTGCCCGGTCTGGGACTCTAACCATGGTGGACTACATGGAGTCCAGTGATGTAACCATTGCACCATCTGCAGGTCCCACAATAAGGTCTTTTGTGGGCAAGCAAGTGGCATTGTGGGTCAAGGCTCTGGAGTGCCACATGGCTGACCACAGTTCAAGTCCCAGATCCTGCAGCTTGGGGACCCTGCAGCTTGAAAATCTTGTCGGGTGTGTATGTGTGCATGCCCAAAATCCCAAGAGGAGGATGGAGAAGGGATTGCAGTGTGGCCATCCCCCCCAGGGGGTGATTTCTTGCTTTCTGTCTATCTGGAGAGCACACACTCCCAATAACAAAAATCTCTAAAAAAAAAAAAAAAAAAAAAAAAAAAGTTTCATGGGAGGACAGGTGGCAGAGGTTAAGGCTGCTGGATCCCACACAGCTGATGCATACTTTAAGTCCCAGACCGGCAGCTTGAAAATCATGCTAGACACGTTTGGGTGTGTTTGTGTGTGCCCAAAATCCCAAGAGGACACTCAAGGAGAAGGGATTGTGGTGTGGCCATCCTCCCAAGCATGATTTCTCACTTTCCTTCTCTCTGTCTCTAGTAAGCACATTCACTCTATAACAAAACTAAAAAACAAAGGCCTTTCTCATTTTTCTGATCCACCTCCCTACCCACCTTCTTCTTACCTACCTTTCTATGGTTCTTAAAAAGTGACAGCCCAGAAGGATCTCAACTCCCAGTCACTTAGTCCCCTGCATATTTTCATTCTTTTTCTTCCTATTCTCGTTGCTCTGTATTTGTGAAGAAAGGTACTGTTTCTGTTAATAAAGTGCATACCTGGGTATTGCCAATAAGAGTTGGGAAGCATGGCTTTCTTTGTGCCAACCCCGGTTCAAGTCACACCTACCCATGCACACTTGGGTGGACTCTGCTCCTTCTCTCAGGTCTGTGCTTTGTGGGTTAAGAGAGATTGATACTCACTCTATGCTTATTCAGAACTTGTAATCATGAGGCCAGATTTAGGGCAATAAAGTGCAACTTCCTGTAAGTCAGACCCACATGGGAAGGTTGCCAGTTCCAGTACAGAGGCCTCCCTGTGTACGCCAGGTGCAGGTGTACCCACTACCCAGCCGGCTCAGGTAGGGGACAGATCGTGGTCTCAGGACCCTGATAGGGATGTTATATCTCTGTCTGTCTTCTTCAGTTGTGGAATAAATAAGTAAATTTTTAAAAAGAATTATTTATTTTATTTTATTATTATTGTTATTATTTTAAAATTTGACCAGAGAGACACAGAGAAGGGAAGTGAGAAAGCAAGCTACCAGATCTGGGACTCAGACCACGGTTAGCCAGTGGGAATTCAGCACCTCACACCACCTGCCAGCCCCAAATAAGTAAATTTTTAAGAAATTGCGATGATGACATTTGTTCCCTATTTATCTAACATCAGATAAGGCTTAGTTTATTTGCTTAGTTCATTGCGTATACGGTTGCTAGATAGTGTGACATTACGTATACCTTTATTTTACTTCCTCACTGAAATTTCATTAGGTTAAAGAGTCCTATTTTAGGTCAAGAAATACTCAATAATTTCAATGGAAGCCTATTTTCACATAGTCTTATTAAACATTAATGCTCATAATACTTTGCATATAGAATGATAAATAAAAATAACCTAAAACAAAAGAAATAGTTGTTTTAACTCAGTGGTTCAGGCACTTGGGGTGGGGGGAAACCCTGTTAGGTAGTAATGCAGGAACTCAACTGATCATGTATAGCTGGGCTAAAGGATTACTGAGATTACTGGAACACTGCATGAAAAGGTCGTGTATCCCCAAGCACGCTGGCCTTCTTTTTTTTACAGCGTGAGTACCAGAATAAGTATAACCAAATCTCATTTTCTGCTTCTCCAAAGAGGAGGTGAAGATACATCTTCTGGAGGTATCTTCTATGTAAGATCTACCACCATTAAAACTCAGTTATTCTCCCTCTCTTTCTCTCGACTTTCATTTGTTTATCTTCCTGCCATTAAAGAAGGCCTTAGTGATAAGTCAAGTGAGAAGGTGACTCTTTGACATTCATGAGGAGATTGTTGCTGTGAAAATTCTCTGTAGAGCAGCAGACATGAATGGTCTGATATTGCTGGGATGAAGGTAGTGGTGGCAGAGATGAGAATGTAGGGATAGGGAAATTGGGAGAGAGTTTCTTGGACATTTAGTCTCTGTCGCCCACATTTCTCTGCACTGGCGTATCCCAGTTATCTAAGGGTATGATTGAATTTTTTTTTTCACCGTAAGGAACTCTTAATGCACATATATAAACAGAGATTCATATAAAGATGCAAAAGAATAATGAATCTTATCAAGGAAGGGATACCTTCATTTTTGTAGGAGTAGGAGTATTCTCAAGTGTAGGCGTGGTTGGAGTTCTGAAGTCCCACTGCCAACCATTTATATTACTAAATTAGCAGTGTGACCTTGCAGAAGTTACACAACCTATCTGATCTTGTTTTTTCTCATTTGTGAGGCAAGAGCATCTACCTTTCTGTAAAGTACTTAGACCAGTACCTGGCCAACACTAATTACTATTATTACTGTTGGTGTTATTTGTGCTTTTATTTATTTTTAAAGGAGGACAGAACTCAAGGCATGGGCAGACTTCTTAAAGGTCATGCTGACCTTGGAAGTGCTAATTCTTATCAGAGCCCCCGGTGACTCATAAATGCTCAATGAGAAGAAATTGCTGTATGGATGCTTGAGGCCCATGATTGAGTTGGCTATGACTGAAATGTTCCTGCCACTGTGGATTTTATTAATATCGCCTATTGATGGATTGTTCTTTTTCTGCATGTTAAGGATGAAACTGTAGTGCGAGTCTCTGGAAAATGTTGCCCACAGTGCTCCTCACAGTCCTGCTCTGCAGCTGGCCAGGTGTACGAGGTAAGCTTTGACGTACCCCCGTGGGTGTTTTGACATATCTTCTCACACATCTGCCCCATGCCCTTCCTGCTGCCATGCCTCCCCACCTCATGCCTGTCTCTGTGCCAGGATTAAAGGGATTTTTTTTTTCTTTTCTTTACTAAAAGCCTTATGAAAAAATTAAGTTGAAGGGGATTAGAAATATAAAGGAATGTGCTGGCAAGCAGCACATGGTTCATGAACCTTGGGGAACTTGCTGTTCACACATCTTGAAGGGATAAAAGGGCTATCATTGGTTCTCATCAGTTTACACTTAGCTTTAAGGCTCTGGGAATGTCTGTCTGCTGTGTTTGGATTTTGTGCACTGAGATCCAGAGATAACTGCCCCCACCTCACCCCGGGGGGAGCTGGAGCATGGAAGGGAGGTGAGAGGCTGGTGGCAATGGAACCTGCAGATTCCACAATGCTATTGGGGCAATCTACCTAACAGACAGTGAGCACCCAGTAAAGATAGGTTCAATAGAGTGAGTGAGTGAGTGAGTGAATGAGTGAATGAATGTTCTATCTTAGCAGTGCCCAACCGAGCCAGAAGGAGATGCCATTATTTAGAAGCAAAGAACATATAAAAAATAAAGCCAACTATTTCCCTCGCTTGCCTGCCAGTCTAAAGAAGATTAAATAGAATTTGAAACTATGTATTGGGGGATGAGTATCTTACAAATTGTGCATGGTTCACTTGAAATCTGGAAGAAAATTAGTTGGGAAAGGGTTTTTGTAGATTTGCATTATCTGACAAAGTAGCCACATATGTGTCTTATGTTGTATTTATTTATTTATTTATTTTTTTTGACTAAACTAATTCCCCTTTGAAGGGCATAGAGAAGGCCTTGGTATCTATTACGGTGTGTTTGGTTGCAAGTAACAGAAACATCCCTTTGAAAGTGGCTAAAATGATAATATCTGTTATCTGACTTGAGAGATCCAGGGATGGGGTGGCCACAGGGTTGATCAAATCAGGTCTCAATGATGTCTTTGAGGATCTACACTGTTTTGATCTTTCTACCCTGCCAGTCCAAGCACATTGGTTTTTGCCTCCCACCTTGTCTCTTCATGTCCCCAGGATGGCCCCTTTAGCACCTGGCAGCTCATACTTGTGCAATCATTACTAAAGGCTGGTGGAAGAAAGGGCCGGGTTTTTCTTTTTTTGTGGAAGGAGTCTTTTCCTCAACCTCCACTGCTCTAGCAAATTTCCCATGATGTCCCCTCAGGTAGGATCAGAGCAATGTCTATGCTCTAGTTGCAAGGGAAGCTGGGAAAAATGAGTATACGGCAGTGAGAACAATGTCTCTTGGCAAAGAAGAGCTAAAGAAAGACCATGGTTAGCCAACCAACAGGGCTCCCTTTTCTCAGAGTTCCCAGTGTCTCTGTGTTTTGGGCACACAGCAGGCCCTCAGTACATCTGTGGGATAAATACAGGTGAATGAAAATTAACCCAAAGTTTCTTTTGGACATTTATTGAATTTTTTCCTAGAGGCTGTTCCAACCTGAAAGATAAGATTTTTCAGAAGTACATTCAATGGGGCTCAATTTTAAAATGTAATAAAAATTGGGCATCTCTGTGTCTGTGTTTCTCTTTCATGGATGTCATATTTGATGTTCCATTTTCCTTTTTCCCTTTCCTCTTGCAGCATGGTGAACAGTGGAGTGAAAATGTTTGTACCACATGTGCATGTGACCGGGGCGAAGTCCGGTGTCACAAACAGGCCTGCCCACCACTGAGATGCGAGAAGGTATTTGAGAGCATGCAGCTTGATTTTCTAAGCATTATTCTGGGCTATTGAAGAAGCATCCACTGTGTCTTTTGAGGGAATCAAGAGTTTTGTAATATTCAGAATGTTATGTGAAAATCTGAAAGCTCAGAGTGGACAGAGATGCAGTGGTAAAATGCAGTGTTCTGGATGGCTGACCCACATGGGAGCATCCGAGTTTAAGTCTGGATACACCCAGTGTATGCCATTGACCCAGGGCCAGCTGAAGCTGAGGGTGGATCGCAGCATCGGGATTCTGTTGGGGATACTTACTCATGTTTTGTGCACACTCATGAGGCAAATTTAAAAAAATAATTTTTGAGAGAGATTTTTGCTCTAGAGCGTGTGCACTTGCCAGAGAGACAGAAAGCAAGAAATCACACCCCGGGGATGATTGTGGCCATATTGCAATTTCTTCTCCTCTGTCTGGTGTGAGTTTCAAGCTGCTGAATTCAGGACTTGAACTGTGGTTGGCTGTGTGGAAGTCCAGTGCTCCAACCACTGTGCCCCTGCTGGTCCCACAAACTAATAATTTAAAAAAGGAAAAAAAAAAAAAAAAAAAGGCAGATCTGCCTCTTAGGAAGGAAGGTTGAGATGAAGGGGAACTGCCTACTGCCTCCCTGCGTCAGGCAGAACGGGTGGGGGAGCAGCAGAACACACCACTGGTGTTGGCTGTCCTCCCTCTCTCCTGAGCACTGCCTTCACTCACCGTTCTCTCTGCTTCCGTAGGGTCAGAACAGGGCTCGACTCCATGGGCAATGCTGTGAGGAATGTGTGTCTCCTACTGGAAGTTGCTTATATGATGGGATTATGAGGTACCAGGATGAAATGTGGAAGGCCTCAGCCTGTGAATTCTGTACGTGTGACCGGGGCCAAGTGACCTGCCAGACTGCAGGGTGTGCCAAAGTGGAGTGTGCTCGGGTAAGAAGCAACAGTGTGTCCATACGGATGGTAGCAGCCCTTTCCAGCGGTAGCTGGGCCTCAACCTGTTCCTTACTCAGGCGCAGAGGGGATGGATACGTTGATCACTCTCATTTCAAGGGACCTTTTAGCATGGAGATGTTGAGTGTAAAGTGAATGTAGCTATTTGTCCCCCATTTGCCTGGAACAGCTCCCTGGAGCCTTTGGCTGTCTGTGCAGCTGGTCAGATTGGAAGCCCTGAGCCAGAAGCATAACGGGGAAGGACGCGATGCGGACATTAGCCTATCTGCCGGTGCAGCTGGACCTCATTGCTGCTGGCCTGCCCTCGCAGTGGTTGTGCACCAGGGTCCACAGGTGCGCAAGTGGCCCGGCTCCCGCTGCAGGCTCCACGGCTGCATTTAGCAGAAAGGAGGGCCAGTACCTTGGGCTGCTCCTGTGGATTAGGAAAGAACATAAAATGGTTTTGGTTTCCATTTTTAAGAGAGAGCAAGGGGGACCTCATAATTAACTCTGTTGACTTTTGCTATTTGCAGAATTTCTAGAAGCTTCTAACAAAGCAGCCTCTGTTTGGACCATAGATGTATTAATGTATTATAGGGAAATGACTTTTTTTTTTTTTCCTTTGAACTCGATTTCGACCCATGGCAAAACAAATTGCTTTTCAAGTTGCCTTCTTCTCCTTCACTGCGCCCTTCCACCCCACCAGTTTCCCTTAGGGCTGTGCACTTGAGTGGACAAGGGAAACTTGAAAGATCTGAAGCACTGGGTGTCTGAAAAGGCATTTTTCTTTCTAGTTCTCCCCCTCTACTCAGCTCCTCTTACCACTGAGCCTTAGGAGGAACAAGCTTTCAGACAAAGCAGTCCCTGACAGGGCTATTTTTCATGTTGCCTCCTACTTCTAGGCCTTGGCAGAGCTGAAACACTTTTAGGTAACAGGGGTCTTACTTTTTGCAGATTTATTCCAGCCCCCATCTTTTCTTCTCTTTTACATCCCTTACTCCCTCCCTCCCTCCATTCCTTCCTTCCTTCCCTACATTCCTTCCTTTCTTTCCTTTCTCTTTTCTTTTCTCTTTCTCTTTCTCTTTCTCTTCTCTTTCTCTTTCTCTTCTCTTCTCTTCTCTTCTCTTCTCTTCTCTTCTCTTCTCTTCTCTTCTCTTCTCTTCTCTTCTCTTCTCTTCTTCCTTCCTTCCGTCCTTCCTTCTTTCCCTTTCTTCTTTCTTTCTCTTTCTGATAGGTGAGTCAGGATGGTTGGATGAAGATGACAAGAAAACCTGGGAACCAGCAGTTAGTGTAATGGCTATGTCGCTGGACTCCCACGTAGTCGACCGCGGTTCGCGTCCTGGACCTGATGGCTTAAAACTCACTCAGGGCGCGTGTGCGTGTGTGCCCAAGATCCTGAGAAGAGAATAGAGGAGAAGGGATTGCGGTGTGACCATCCCCCCTGGGGGTTGATTTCTCGCTTTCTGTCTCTGTGTCTCTCTGTCTGACGAGCGCATGTGCCCTATAGCAAAAACCTCTCCAAAAAAAAAAAAAAAGATGACAAGAAAACCTGATCACAGCCCTTTTCTTTCTCTCTCTCAGGCTGAGCCAGGACTTTCTTGCCTCACAGCCTGTCTAGAGGATGCTACATTGTTTTCTAAGATTTTAATTGATTTAATATGCCAGAATTAATGGAAAATGTGGGAGAGGTGATCCTGGTGGGGTGGGTTCTTTAACCACCTACTTTCAGATCCGAACAGAGTCTCATGCACAGAAAATTATTTAGTCCCTTACCCTCAATGTTAGTGACATTCCAAGTGCCTGTCCTGCTGGCTATCTGCAGTGACTTCTGGCTTGGTACCATGAGCCAGATCCTCTTGTCTGATCTTAAAACAATGGGGAAGAGAGGGACAGCTGCCAAAATGGAGAGTACCTCAATATTCCTCAGGTCACCCTCCCTGTAGAATTTTCTTTAATGAATTGATGAGTTTCGATGTCTTTCACTTATTTCTCTAGATCTTGAATCAGCTAAATTGCTTTTGTTCTAGATTGCCTCCATGTTCCTCAGATTTTATTTAAGTCAGTGAGTTGAAAACTGGAAATGGGGATCAGCAGTTAGCGTAATGGCTATGTCGCTGAACTCCCAGCAACATGGTTCGAGTCCCAGACCTGGTAGCTTAAACTCACTCCGGGTGCATGTGTATGCATGCCCAAGATCCCTAGAGGAGAATGGAGGAGAAGGGATTTTGTGACATGGCCATCCCCCCTGGGGGGTGATTTCTTGCTTTCTCTCTATCTCTCTCTGTCTTTCTGGTGAGCACACACACTCTATAGCATAAACCTCTCCAAAAAAAACCAAAAAAACTGGAAATGGTATTAGAGGCAAAATTTTAACCAAAACAGAATCCTGTAAAAAAAATCTCCTTTAGCCTTCTTTATATGCTATACTTTTGTAAGTAGCTCTGACGAATGACCTTCTGAAAGCCTGCGTGTGTTAACTTCTGCTAAACTTAAATGGCTGGTGAGAAAAAGACAAATAAGACACATTCTAACCTCAGGAATTCCAGGCTTTGGGGAGAGTCAGATACGTAAACAGAGATTATAATACACAATGTACCAACAGCTACAGAAATGTGAATGAAATACATTGTGGTCTCTGTGGGGGAAAGGACTGTGCCTGCTAACGGGAGTAGAGAAAGTACACTATTGGTATCTTCTGTTCAGCTCTACCCGATGCTCTACCTGCTTCCTTCTTGAAAATATCAAGGTCACTTGATTTCCAATCTTGCATACCAAGAGTGGATTAAGTCTATGTACATCCACAAAAAGGCATAGAGTAAGAAACTTCTAGAAGAACATGCCAAATTGTCCAGTTTCAACGTTGTCATCATTATCATATTGGTTATCAACAACAGTGTTATAAATAGCATTGAAATCAGCATGCAATTTTTCTTTGTTAAAAAAGGAGAAAATGGCATAGTATTTGTCTTTGATATTAATATATCAAACCAAATCCCTAGACATTGAAAAACAAATACATCAATGTTAGAATAGCATAATATGATGATTTTAAGTTTTCTATATTTTATAATGTCTTTGAACATGAATTCAGATGAAGTCGAGTCACTTGTTCGTAAGGACCTGTCATGTACATCTGAGGCATCAAATAGTGGGGAGAATTGAAGGTTATGGCCAAACAGATGGAAGAGGGTAGGCAGGCCATAAATGTGAAGTGCCTTTTCCTTCTCCAGTGGAGGAAAATCCCCTGAAGTTCATTTCCTTTTCCAGTGGGCAGGTTAGTCAAATCTCAGAGTGTTTGCTTTGGTGGGTGTATGTATGATTCAGTGGGGTAGAGGTAGCAGATTTGATTTGGCCTATGCAATGGAATCCTCATCAAAAGAGAAGAATGAGTTTTGTTTCACGAAGCAGTTTTGTTCAAAGCAGGAGTCAAATGCTAATTGGAGCAAGCTCCCCACTACAGTGCACTGATGCAGTTTGGGGCACCCAGGCTTCTTCTATAAATAGCAAGTCTATTTAGAACTTCCTACCTCACCAAAATTGAATCCTTGTTCCCCAGAAGCAGGGTGTGCTATTATTTACAGTAACATGTCAAAGCTCAGAGTAACCTTCTTTACCTGGTCTGGGTGATGTGAGCTCCCTTTTCAGATCACCTCCATGCATTGAAGCAGATACTCAAGAATCTCTCATGTACTTTCTCTCTAATAAACATGCACATACTCGGTCTCCTTTCAAAACGTTGTTTTAGAGGACTTATATTATGTGCTTATAAACCCCTTTATGTGCTTTGAAAGCAAATTTTAGTCTATTTCTGGGTTATACCTTCACTACTAACTGATCTGTCCTGTACTGCAGAACAATTTATATGTAAATACGTCTGCTTTCTAGAGCATCCACTGCTCTCTGTTGGCCTCAAATTGACATGAAATTTTTATGGATAGTAATCTATTTAACTCTCTTCATTATTTTTTTTTTAAATTTAGTAGAAGGTATGTGTGTTTACCAGAGAGAAAGACAGAGAGAGAAAAGGTGTGAAAACACTCCCCATGGGGTATGGTCATGCCACAGTCCCTTCTCCATTTCTCCTTTTGAGATTTTGAGCATCTACACACATGTTCCTGGTGTGTTTTTCAAGCAACCAGGTCTGGGACTTGAACCGTAGTCGCTTTGTGGGATCCAGCTGCCATAACTTTCATGCGGCTGGCTAGCTCTGCTCCCTTCAGTTTGAAATCACTTTTAAACACTGAAAAGTTGCAGTCATTCATGTGTGTTTGTGTTTGTTTAAATGTTCATATTACTCCTCATTAAAATAACACATATTCATTCTAGAAGATTTTGAAGACTCAAGAAAAGGGAAAAAGAGACTTAAAAATCTATTTATGGGTCAGCAGATAGCATGGAGGTTAAGGCAGCTGGATCTCACAAGGCCAGCTGCAAGGTTTGAGTCCCAGATCTGACGGCTTGAAAATCATACTGGGCACATTCTCCTGAGAGGAGAATGGAGAACCAGGGACCACAGAGTGACCATACTCTGGGAGGATGATTTCTCACTTTCCCTCTCTGTGTCTCTCTCTGAAGTGCAAGTGCCTTACGGCAAAAAGAAAAGAAACAATATAGAAAGCATTTTAAAGAATACTTTTTAAACCATAGATATTAGATATTAGTTTATGCATGTAAAAAATCATAATAGATTTTATATTTTTAATAGCAAATTCCTTAGGAGTAGAATTATACTTTATAAATAATAGTATTGAGAATTATTTATTTTTTGTACAGCAAACATGTATTATATCAAAACAAAAAATAAACATTTTGAAATGATAGATATTGGGAAATTAAAGCAATACTACTTTGAAAGTTAAACATCTTCTCTCTAAGTGTGACATTTCTTTCTCTTTTATTCTTAAAAATAATTATGATATGAGTTGGCCAACAGTAAAAGTTTCAGAATATTGAATATAAATTAGTTATCTACTGTTTAATTTATGCTCAAAGAGTACATCTGTGCAAAAAAGGAATGCATCTGATTTTGTATTCAAAGAAAATGCTGGTTTGCCTTGAATACTGTAATGAAACCACAGTCATGGATTCCAACCTTGTATATTGAAGATAGTGTGGTCCCTTTTTGAAACTCATAACTTTTTAAGATTATGCCATTAACCTTGGTCATTTTTCTCATTTGTGTGAGTTTCCGGTCATGAATAGGAAATTGTGGAGCCATCAGAGCCCAGGGACATTAGCACAGGAATGAAAAAACATGTGGAGGGGGGTGCTATGTTGAGTAGACTTGCCATAGGCAAACAGTGCAGCGGGGAGACGAAGGAAGGATTGGGCCAAAGCATAGGTGAGCCAAGGTCACTCCAGTTGGGAAATCCAGCTGCTGCATAGTTTCTTGGGTGATCAGAAAAGTCATGACACATTTTTGCATAGAGAAACATAGACAAATACATCATGACTTTTCCCATGACCCAATAGTACTGGAGATATTGATTTCATAAATGTTCCTACAACCCTTATTTTTACAGGGTGAAGAATTAATTCACTTAGATGGAAAATGCTGTCCTGAATGCATGTCTAGAAATGGTCATTGTGTTTATGAAGAACGTGCAGAATTTGTGAGTATCAGGCTAATAACTAAAGGCTAATCAAATGAATGATTCGAGATTAATATAATGAGGAGACATTACCTCCTTGTTTCCTGTACCTGTTCATTTGTTCAGCAAATGTTATTGCACACCTATTATGTGCCAGTCCCTAGGGACACAGTGAGCACAGCAGGCAGTGTCCCTCCGTGGTAGGGGAGCTTTTTCTGAGCGTGGGGATATGGATTAAAAAGGCACACACATGTCCAGTGCTAACAAGTACTGCCTAGGAGATACTGCCTGGAAGAATATAGCAGCATAAGGGGCTAGAGAGTACCTGGGTGGGGACTGCTCTTTTACATCAGGTGAGTGGGAAGTTCTCTTGTGCAGAGAAATTTGAGCAAAACCTGGAGGAAGTGAGGGAGTGAGCTGCATGAATATCTGTGGGAAACACCAGGATGGGGGAGTCAGCAAATGCAGAGGCACTGAAGCAGAAGTATGCCTGGCCTGTTCAAGGAAGAGTGGCTAGAACAAAGTGAATGAGGGAGAATGGAGTTGGAGGCAGGTCCAGGAAGTGGCCTGGAAACCAGAGTTTCTGAGCCTGAGGCAGGCAGGAACTGCTGGGCAGTTTTGAGCAGAGCAGTGTTGTGACCTAATTCCCTCAAAAAGATCACTTTGGCAGCTACACGTGCAAGTGACAGAAAGGGACGAGACTGGAGGTAGGTGGTCCTGGTGCGAGGTTTTTGCAGTAGTCCGGGTAAAGGGAGCCTTGGTCTAGAGAAGTGGTGAATATAGTTAAAAGTTAAAAGTGATTAGGCTCTCGATTTATTTTGCAGGTAAAAGTGACAGGATTTTGATGGATTAGATGTGGGGTGAAACTCTATTTGCTGAGGTTTGAATTCTCTCTGCATCTGTAATCTTTTGTTACCCAAAGGAAAAAGGATTCATCTTAATCTTTTCAGATTTGTCCTATTTATGTAGCCCATATTTTCCATGTGGGATTCGGAATGTTGACAATTTCGTTGTTCCTTGAACATATGCCAGTGTATCGTACATAACACTGCTTCATTGACCAAAGTAGAATGTAAGAATGAAGTGCTTTAACTGGTAAACTGAGTCTGCCACACTTTTCCCTTAGGATTTGTGTAAAGTCCATCTGCCCATGTGTCTATATGCTGGGGAGGCAGTACTGTATATGGTTACCAGGTTCTAGGTTCAAATCCTTACTTTACTATATATGGTGATCTTAGGCAAATTATTGATACTTAATTACAAATTACTTAATCCTCTCTATAAGGTAGTGATAACAATAGTACCTACCTTATGGTGCTGTTATGATGGTATGCCTAAAGCTCTTGGAACAGTGCCTGGCACATTTTTGAAAAGCTAAAAACGTGGGCGATATTACTGTTATGCTATTGACATTGTTTGTTTCATAGAGGTATTTCATAGTTTACTCATCCGTATTTCTTAAGAATTTAGGAAGTTGAAATCGCCATATAAATATTGAATTTGTACTTTTTCCAGTCATAATATTAAGTATTTTTTTTTTACCCATTTTTGGAATTAAATTAAACCTAGTGAAATTATAATACATACAGATCTCCATAATGGTCTGCTACCGCACCAAATTCAAAATTTTGCCCTTACAAGCCTGTATTCCTTGATCCTTTATTATTGAGGAGAATTGAAGGCAGGTGCTCATGCATAAAGTGAGACTGGAATTCAAAAATATTTCCTACACATGTTGTCTTCACCTCCTATTGGTATGCGTTTCTTGTTTTTGATACAGATAGATTTTATTTCTATTCCTAACAAATGAATGAAGTTGTATGCTACTTGAGAAGAAATGGATAACTCTTAATGAAAAAATAAGTAGATCAGATTTATGGTGTTTTTACTGGTATAATAAATACATTTTTCTTTGTTTCTAGATATCCTCAAATACGAGTGAAATTAAACATATTCCAGTAAGTATAGATTTTTAACTTGTACATAGAGCATTATAAATAAAACTGTTTCAGTAATGATCTGCATAAACTATCATGGGGAAACTTAGTGCTTTAGTTTTAGTTTTTTTTTTTTTTTTTTTTTTTTTTTCTTTAAACAATATGACAGAGAGAGAGGGAAAGTGAGAAATCACCACCCAGGGGGGTGGCCATGCTATAATCCCTTCTTCATCCCTCTCTTGAGATTTTGGGCACTCATGTACAGCAAGATTTTCAAGCTACCCAGTCTGGGACTCTAACCATGAAGCTGGCCATGTGGGATCTAGTGCCTTAACCTCCATGGCACCTGCTGGCCCAGTGCCTTCGTATCTTCAAAAGCAATATTTGATAGCACTGTGGTCACAAATTAAGAATCTTAATTACAACTAAGACTTTTATCCATTGAACTTTTGTTCTTTTCCTATATTTCATCTTTGCCAAAAGGCCAGAAAGTGACATTTACTCCTTTTCTTACTTAGCACCTTTTTTTCCTACAATTGATCATTAATACATGAATACTTCTCTAAATAAAAGTTCCTACCTATGTCTTCCTCTAGTTTTTCTAAAAGGCACATACACTTGCCACAGAGAGACATAAGGAGATGGAGAGGAGAAATCCCGCTCCCCTCCCACCTTGCCGCCATGGAGAATGGTCATGCTGCAATTTCTTCTCCTCCATACCCCCGCCCCTTTCAGGATTTTGGGCACACACATATATGTGCCTGGTGTGTTTCTCAAGCTGCTGCGCCTGGGACTTGGCCATGTAGGATCCAGCTTCCTTAAACACTAGGCCATGGTGCTTGCCCTATCTTTTCCCTTCCTTGTGATGATCACTTCCTGATTTTTTTTTTCTGACATAGAAAATTCAGTTTTACCATTAGGGGAATTCCATGTACTGCAAAGAACTGAAAAGATTCTTGGGCTTGAGAATGTTAGTTTCCCAATAGTACCGAGCATGAGTTGTTTCCATGACGATGTTATATGATTTCTTTAAGAAGGAAAGTGCAAACATGTTTGTTCCACAAGCCATCTTAGAATTTTGGAGGTTATGGAATAAGGGACGAGGAACTCAGTCTGCTTTCAAGTGGAAGAAAAGCATTTCTGCCTTCTTAAGACAACATTCCTCAGTTTCTAACATTTGCCATTTGTTTTGCTAACTACTGTCACATTTGTTTGGAAAGTTTAATATCAGTTAGCTTGATAAGCATTTTATCAAACTTTTACTTGAAAATCTACTCTTTTACCTTTCTCCTCACCGCAGCACATTAGGTAGAAACCTTTATTTCTTTTCTATCTCCAGGGTGAGTGGAATTGTGAGAAAAAAATAATTGATTTTTATAATGCACTTTGGGTTCTCTGTCAAAGTACTTGTGTTTATGACCATAATTTGCTTGGCTGAAAAGAATATTTTCCAGTGAGAAAGCTCATGGCACATCTACCGCCTATTAAAGTGGGCCTGCAAAGGCTTTAGTTTTAAGAATACAATGACTCAACTGTTACCCTTACCACAGTAATCAGAAGGGTTTAGCCAAGCTTTCCCTGTTATTATAGCGATTGAGTTTAATGTACCTGCTAATAACTAGGTACACAGTAATTGCCTTAGTGCTTTTTCGGTGAAATAGGTTGACAATCATGTTATAAATGCATTTTGCATATTCGGGTTTAGTTGTGGTGGCTTGTGCTGAGGCCACATGGGAAGTCCAGACTCAGCTCTCAGCCCAACCAGAACAGGCTGGATGTGGTGGTGTATACCCATGGTCCTCGCTTACTAGGGGGCTGGGGCAGGAGGATCATAACAGGGCAAGACTATCAAAAATCAACCAATTAATCATTCAACTTTCATCTCTCATTAAAAAAAAAAAATATA